TTTTTTTAATTTTTTTTTTTTTAAACATTTATACTTTTGACTATATAACTTTAAGAATCACTTTAAGAAATTTGCTCAAAAATTGCTAAAATGACTTTTTATTATTGTTATTATTATTATTATTAATATTATTATAAATTTGCCGTTTAAATAATTACAACTTATTTGTAATATAAAAATGGCGGGAGTTAGAAGAAGAAAAAATAGTCTTATCGCCAAGCCCCCAATAAGCGTAAATAATATAGTCATTAAATCTTGTCATTAAAAATGTTTTCAAATATAATAAGATGAAAAAAAATAAAGATAATAAATTCCAAAATTTGTTTTCAATAATAAATGAAATAATAAAAAAATTAAGAAGAAGAAATAAAATAAGAAGAAGAAAAAGCAAAAATAAAAAAAAACGAAAAATATATACAAAATTAAATATAACAGTTTTCAATTATAACGATTAAGAATTGCGAATTACGAAATAATGCAAAATAATTATATAAATAATGCAAAATAATTATAAATAAATGATGCAAAAACGTGCTCAAAGTAAGATGGCGGTTTTTCAGAACTGATATATGTAAAATACAAAGTGCTAATGATAACAAAGAAATTTATTACTAAACATATTTCTTAGTGTTTTTATCAAACTTGTAAGCTGACATTATCAAACTTGTAAGCTGACAGTAAAGACAAACAAAAAATATATTGTAATAATTATAGATTAAAATATATTAACTATATTAACATTTTTGCATATACATTTAAAATAATGGCAGTAACACTTGTGGAAATCAAAAAAATGATAAAAGACTTGTTTAAAAATACAAAGTGGAAACAGAAGCTGCGCTAAAGCAACAAGAAAACAACTTTATAAACATCGTTAATGCAAACACCAAAATCTTAAACGAGAGATTGGACAAAGTAGAAAAAAATATTTTAGAAAACGCAAAAAAAATATCAACACTTGCAACAGAAGTTGAAGAAATAAAAGTTAGTTTAAATTTTCATGAGGAACTCATTGAAAATAAAATTAAAACTGCGTTAGATTCTTTCATAAAAAATAAACCTACTCACAACGAAATTCAAAATAACAACATTGAACTCAAAAAAATAAACAGCAAGCTAAGAGAAATAGAAGATAGATCAAGAAGGAACAATCTAAGAGTTGAAGGAGTTAAAGAAGATGATAATGAAAGCTGGCTAAAAAGCGAAATAAAAGTTAAAAAAATATTTGATGAGTACTTGGGCATAAAAGATGTAAAAATTGAAAGAGCGCATAGAGCTGGTAAAGAAGATATAAAAAAAGCACAGAACAATTGTTGTGAAATTATTGGATTTTAAAGATAAAGAAGCAATTTTAAGAAACTCTTCAAAATTAAATGGAAAGAATATTTTTATCAATGAAGATTTTTGCGCGGAGACAAATCGAATAAGAAAAGACTTGCGAGAGAAAATGAAAATTATAATTCCTACGACAAGCTTATTGTACGCGAGTGGAATGCAAAAAAAAAGTAATTTTTTTTTAATTTTATTTATTTGTTTACATTATATTTAAATATACGTTATATGCTTAAGTGGTATGCAATAAATTAATCACTAAGTCTTCCTAAAAGACTTTTAACATGTCGCACACTATTATTTACTGCCAAATCTAAAGATTTTAAAAATAACTCAAATCTCCATCTCCCAGGTTTTGATCCAGTAATTTTAGAACGAAGTACAAATAAGCAAGGAGGAGGAGTTTTATTTTTTGTTTTTATTTACACAAAACAAAAGCAAGCAAGTCAATTAGTTTCGGGCATGGATAGATACGAAAGTGCCGAGCCGTTACTCAAGGAAATAAATGCCCTAAATGTATACAAATTAAACATCTACCATAACTTGTTATTTATGTTTAAACTTCAAAACGAATTAATTCCAAAATATTTTTATAAAAACTTCTCTCTTATTAATCATAAATATAAAACAAGACACTCAATAAATAATTACTACATCCCACTAACATTACTCAAAAAGTCTGACTTCTCAATTACATGTCGGGGACCACGCTTGTGGAACTCGGTTCTTGACGAAAATATGAAAAAAATAAAATCTATTGATATATTTAAAAGAGCTATAAAAAAACACTTACTAAATTTAAACAATACGTACATTCTTTCATTTTTTTAATTTAAAAAAAAAAATATATATATATATATATATATATATATATATATATATATATATATATATATATATATATATATATATATATATGTATTTTGCGTGTGTATATTTATATATATATATATATATATATATATATATATATATATATATATATATATATATATATATATATATATATATATATATATATATATATATATATATATATATATATATATATATATATATATATATATATATATATATATATATATATATATATATATATATATATATATATATATATATATATATATATATATATATATATATGTGTGTGTGTGTGTATGTGTATGTGTGTATATGTATATATATATATGTATATATACATGTATGTATATGTGTATGTGTGTATGTGTATATATGTATATGTGTATATGTATGTGTGTATGTATATATGTATGTGTGTGTATGTGTGTGTATGTATATGTGTATATGTATATATGTATATATGTGTATGTATATGTATATATGTGTATATGTATATGTATATATATATATATACATGTATGTATGTGTGTATGTATGTATGTATGTATGTATATATGTGTATACATGTATATATGTGTGTATCTGTATGTATATGTGTGTATGTGTGTATGTGTATATGTATGTGTATATATATACATATATCTTTCTTATATATATTCTTCTTGTTTCTTTTTGTTTGTCTGTTTTAATTTTGTTTAAAAAAAAAATATGAGTAGATGAACTTAAATCTATAAAATGTTCAGAATCTTTTTTAATTCAAAATATATTTTGTATATTTAAATATATATTATGAAGTTTATTGGATATGTATACGCATATGTACGGATTTGTAAATTATTTTTTTATTATTTTCAAACTTTTTAGTTTTGTCAAACTTAAAAATTATTTTTTCAACTTTTTGATTTTTTCAAACTTTTTAATTTGTTTTTTTTTAAACTTTTTTAAATTTCACTCTTTTATATATTATTGGAAATTGTAAAATTTTTTTTATTTTTTTTTATTTTCACGAAGGGGCTTGATGATAAGACATTTTGTCTTCTACTTGCCCCAGTCAGCATAAATTTATTTGAATGTAAGGTTAACATTGTAAAATGTGTCAAATGACGAAAAATAAAAATTAAAAATAAAAAATAATAAAAAAAAATAAAAAAATTATGAAAATCAAAGTTCGAGAAAATTTTTTAATGGCTTATTTGAAACTGGAACAATACCTTTAATTAATCGCCCGATTAGAATCACAAGTCATTCATCATCATTAATTGATAACATTTTTACAACCATTTTTTTAATAAGTCGCTAAAAAAGGGAATTATAAAAACCGATGTTTCCGATCACTTCCCGATTATTTTTTCTATATGTGTTAATTTAAAAAAAGAGAAGCAGGCAAAGGTATTAATAAAAAAACGGCTTATCAACAATAATAATTTAAATTCTTTTAGAGAACAATTATCACATATAGATTGGGGTTATATTAACTTTGATGATAATATCAACATAATCTACGACAATTTTTTGAAAACTTTTTACCAAGTGTATGATTCCAACTTTCTTTAACGCTTAAACTATTTCCAATTGAAATAGGTTTAAGCGATAAAGAAATGTCATCTCCCTGGATTACTAAAGGTATCAGAAAATCATCAAAAATTAAGCAGAAGCTATACATTAAATACCTAAAATCAAAATCAGAAAAGCATAAACAAAATTATAAAACTTGTAAAAACTTATTTGAAAAGCTTCGCAAAAATGCAAAAATAAACTACTATTCAAACTTGCTTAATAAATATAAGCACAACTCAAAAAGCGTCTGGCAAATCATGCAGGAGGTGTCTGGAAAACTTAAACCAAATAAAAATTTACTCCCAAATTTTATACAAATTGAAAACAAATTAATAAATGACCCAAATGATATTGCATTTGAATTTAACAAGTTTTTCTCCACTGTCGGGACAAAATTAAGCGATAGTATTTCATTCATTAAAGATAAATCTGTTGATGAGTTCGAAACATCAATAAGTTCCAATCTAAATTTTACCGAGTTAGCTTTCAATGAATTTGAGGTTGCTTTTAAGTCATTAAAACGAAATAAAGCTACTGGGTATGATGATATTAACACAAATATTGTGATTGATTCATACGATGTTATAAAAGATATTCTTTATAAAATCTTCAGAGCATCCATTTCACAGTGGTCTTTTCCAGATAAACTAAAAATAGCGAAAGTAACTCCAATCTTCAAGACAGGGGATCGTACAAATATAACAAATTACCGCCCTATTTCAGTTCTTCCAGTTTTTTCAAAAATTTTAGAAAGAATAATGTACAACCGAATCTACTCTTATCTTGTTGAAAATAAAATTCTATACGAAAACCAATTTGGTTTTAAAAAAAATAATTCAACCGAGCATGACATTCTTCAACTTACGCGCAATATAACCGACTCATTTAAAGACTCTTGTTTTACACTAGGAGTGTTTATTAATTTGTCCAAGGCATTTGATACCGTCAATCATCAAATCCTGTTAAAAAAACTAATATCATATGGTATTAAAGATAAAACCCTATTATGGTTTGAAAATTATCTTACTAACCGTAAACAGTTTGTTTACAATAAAGATTCTATATCTCATCTATTAATGAATATAACATGTGATGTTCCACAAGGTCCATACTTGGTCCTCTTATTTTTTTAATATACATAAATGATCTTCATAAATCATCAAATTTAACAACAATAAATTTTGCAGATAACACAAATTTGTTTTTGTCTCATAAAGATATTAATATGCTTTTTACAAATATGACAAATG